TTGGTAAAATGCAACCTGAACTACATATATACAATTATTTGCACGCTCGACTACTTTTTGACCGTCCGATCATCTGCTAAGGACACGTGTATGGTCAAGATGTGGTCGAGCGTGCAAATAGTGACTGTATATGTAGTTCATGTTGCATTTTACAAAAAAATAAAAAAATAAAAATTTCTTTAGGTTGAAAATCCCAGAAACACGTATAATACAGGTTGGAAAAATTTATTTACCCTTTTTTTTGTGACTTTTTTTTTATTGTTGATTTGTTAAGTTCAGGGTCGGGGATTTGTTGTTTTTATGCTTATGTCGTAAATCGTTTTGCTAAAGGGGAGAAAACAGTTACATTCGCACGTCTTGACGTTGGATAGGAAATTAGTGAATTGTAAAGACAATTCAACCTGAACTACATATATATAATTATTTGCACGCTCGACTACTTTTTGACCGTCCGATCATCCGCAAAAAGGACACGTGTATGGTCAAGATGTGGTCGAGCTTGCAAATAGTGACTGTATATGTAGTTCATGTTGTATTTTACAAACAACAACAACAACAACAACAACATACCTAGTATATTCCCAACAGGTTGGGGTCTGGGGGGTCAGTTGTACGCAGACCTTACCCTTGTAATTATACAAGGAGGCTGTTTCTGTAGCGACCCAAGGTGCATTGCGCGTTTGATATATTCTTTTTTTTTTTTCTAGAAACTTCACTAATAGAAGAAGCACTAGAATTTAATTGAGCCATTTTGATATAGTTCATTATTTTTTGCTTGGTCAGGAGAATTGTCAACAATGACTCTTCCAGCTCCATTTGCAATGGACAAATGTTGCATTTTATAAAAAAAAAAAAAAATCTTTAGGTTGAAAATCCCAAAAACACGTATAATATAGGTTGGAAAAATTTATTTATCCTTTTTTTTGTGACTTTGTTTTTATTGTTGATTTGTTAAGTTCAGGGTCGGGGATTTGTTGTTTTTATGCTTATGTAGTAAATCGTTTTGCTAAAGGGGAGAAAACAGTTACATGCGCACGTCATGACGTTTGATAGGAAATTAGTGAATTGTAAAGGATTACTTACTGTGTAAAGCTATCCTTGAGGTTTTAGCTTAATTAAGAAAAGAAAAGAAGAGGGAAAAATTCATCAAATTTTGGATTTCACAAATGGCACCTATGAACTTAACAACTTTCTTGCATCATTTCACGTCATTACTGGAGTGGAAGAAATTTGTGTACTTCATTAACTGTTTTTAAATTTGACTTCTATTTGTATTACAGAGTTCTTGAACTTCTCATCTTCTTTTTCTATAATTACACTCTTCATGTGTTACTAATAGCTAGACGAAAAGTTTGGGGATGTTTGTTACATTTGGTTAAGTTGATGGATATGTCTGTTAACTATTTGATGACACCAGCAAATAGCCAAATACTGTCAAGTCAGCTAGTGGTCGGGCAAAATGCAAAACAGATACTATTTGTAATTTTCATAGTTTTACTGGTTTTTATAGTTTGGCCTAGCCTTAATTATGCGTAATTCTTGAAACCATCCCAAGTTCGTATTTGAAGTGCACTTTTCTCAGAATTCATTATCTACATTTGTGTACAAATTCTTCTGTTTTATCGCATCTTTTGTACATGTTACGTAAACTATTTTCCGTTAATTTCTTATCTGCATTTATGAATGTACGGTAATAGAAAATGTATAATATAGGTATGCCCGAGCTTGTGGCCTTTTACCAATTGTTGATGAAGAAAAAGCACGAAAGGCACTCGAGACAGTTTACAACTTCAATGTGTTGAAGGTGAAAAACGGGAGGATGGGGGCAGCAAACGGGATGCTTCCAAATGGAGAACCTGACATGTGTACAATGCAGTCGAGGGAAATATGGAGTGGGGTCACATATGCTGTTGCAGCTGCCATGATTCACGAGAATATGATCGACACAGCCTTTAAAACTGCTTTTGGCGTATATGAAGTAGCTTGGTCTGAAGAAGGTCATGGGTGAGTTGAAGTTTTTCATCACTTGCATGGTTTATTCTCTCGTGTGTTCGTTTTTTTCTCTCCTTTCGTCAGTCATTTCTTTGTAGACTTCGCAGAATGATATAAGTATGATTCTGGAAAACATGAACGTTACTTACGGATTTTCAATAATACAAATAACGGATAATCGCTGAAGAACCCTGGAGGTTTGTCCTAATTACAAAAGACCTACTCAATTTTTCAAAAACAAGTACCCCTGTATATGTTTGATTTATGTGTCATATTTTACTATGAACCAGAAAAAGGTACTTTGACATGTTTTTTGGGCTTATAAAGATAATGCCGATGAATAAAATGAAAGGATCTTCTCTCTTCATTTCCAAATAATAGAAGAAAACGGAAAATATTACTTAGAAAACCGAAACCTCTTACGAGCTTTTTAAATGCTACCCCTCGTTATTTCATAGATATGCTTTCCAAACCCCTGAGGGTTGGGACTTTGAAGGGCGTTATCGGTCTCTCGGTTACATGCGTCCTCTGGCAATTTGGGCTATGCAGTGGGCTCTCACACAGCATAATAACTTACCAAAACAAGAAACAAAGCCTGTGATTAAGGAAGAATCTGTTGTTAGAGAGCATCACGGTTTTTTGCGAGTGGCTCGTCTGCTAAAGCTGTCGGACGAGGTTGATTCGAGGAGTCTTTTACAGGTTATATTTGACCGCACATGTAAAAGGATGCTGGGATGAAAAGAGAGATGCCAGATGTGGAACAACATTATGAGTTCGGACTTTGATTTATTCTTTCTCAATTATTATTTATATATATGTGCAAGTGTGTAATAGACAGAAGTAGATGCTTCTGCATGTATATTTGCAATCAGGGCTTTCCTGTTAAATAAAAGTAATTTCAAGAAAGTTGGCTTACTTGTTTTGACGCATTTTCTCATTGTTTTGCTTGGAAGCCATTTTTTATACAAGCAGAAATAGAAAAAAAGGAAACAAATTTTTTGGATAATTTGAGGGTCTTAAAAGTTGAGTTAATCAATTCACCAATGCATTCACCTCAAAATCAAACAAAAATGTTGTTTTTAATGAGAAAAAATTTGTAGTCACACACTACACCAAGTCACAGATGAAACAAACAGATAGGATGTCTGAAATTCAATGTCACACACTACACCTAGTCACCGAGTGAAATAATCTGCTACAAAAGTCTCAAACTCAAAGTCACCCATTACACAATATTGGCTTTCCTGTTCTTTCCATATCCCCGTTTTATAATAATTTGTAGGGTAAATGATAACCGAGTTACCCGGACTCGGGTCGTTCTCTAAGGAAGGCTATTCAGAGCTTTGTTCACTAATTAATTGCCCAAATCACACAAAGATCAAATAATGTCCTAAACATTCTATTCAAGGTGGATGAGAGATTATAAGCTAAATTAACTAAAGAAATAGACAATAAATGACTAAGCATGCAAATATAATTAAAAGCCCTAGCTTACTAAATCGGAGTACTTAAATGAACGAAAAATGACGAAAGCAAAAGAAACGAACTAATGCACCTAAGAGCTAAAGCCGAAATATCCACTTCGAAATTACCGAGCTTTATGACAAAGTCTCGACTTTTCTTGTAAAAATTCGAACTTTAACTAACCTCAAGCACAATAGACAAGCTCACAAAAGATAAGAAAGCAAAATAAGCTAAAACGAGCAAAATACGCCAAAAATCAAACAAGCCCTAAGTTACTTCCACACCCGAGATAGTAATGTAGTGCAAAACCAAGATAATAAGCCTTATTAGAATATTCACTTGTGAGTTGTCCCACATAGTCTATATAGGGAAAATAAGCCTAATTTATAAGTTTAATGGGCTACTCCTCCTTCCACCAATTAGTTGTAGGATGAAACCTCACTTGGGCTTCATCTGGGCTTTCCCTGCATTAGGTGCGGTGAGACGGTTCTATATGGGACCGTGTGATGACGGACCCGTTTCCCAGCCTGTTTCTAGTAGGGCTTGGGCACTCAACTCCGTATATGGGCTTGGGCTTCTTATGAAGGACTCACAAGTGAGGGGACGTATTAGAATATTCACTTGTAAGTTGTCCCACATCGTTTATATAACATAATTTATAAGTCTAATGGGTTACTCCTCCTTCCACCAGTTGGTTTTAGGATGTAATCTCATTTGGGCTTCATCTGGGCTTTCCCTGCTTTTGGTGCGCTTCACGTGCGTGGGACCACACCCGTTTTTCCCGCATTTCTTACAAGCCTCAAGACTAAGTACTTACGTCCCTAATGCATGCTTGAGCGGAAACGACGAAGAAAAATCAAAACTTGCATAAGAAACGAGTCGTCGGAAAGTTGACTGGAAAACATAAGTTTAAGCCTCCAAACACATAAGCTAGAGAGAAAACTAAGAATAACATAAAATCCAAAAGAGGCAAAATGAAATAATGAGCCTCAGTGCTCTAAAATACAAAGGACCAAATGTATTTATAGTGTCACACAAAAGACACATACTTCTCACACACACACATCAAATGATTCTGCAGTTCGATCTCGAAATCCATTTCGCTGCGAGTGTGAGGTGAAAATAATAAGCTCGAGCACGTTTCGCGGGTCGCGAACAAGAGCTCACTGTGAGTGCACGACCTTGTCCCTCTCACTCGCTGTTTCGTGGGGCGCGAACAAGAGCTCTCTTCGAGTGCACGGCCTTGTCCCTCTCGCTTTCTGTTTCGTGGGTCACGAGCGCTACCTCGCAAAGAGTGCGCGGCCTTCTCCCTCTCGCGCACCATTTTGCAAGGCGCGAGCTCCTTCTCGCAGCGAGTGCAGAGGCATGGAGTAATGCAGCTCGGACGCGCTCGCGAGTCGCAAGGTTGAATTCGCTGCGAGTGCCGGGGCGCGGCTGGGGCGCTTCGCAGGCAGTCTCGCAGGTCGCGAGTGAAACTTCGCGAGGAGTGCTGGGGTGCGACTTGGTCTTCGCGGGAAGTCTCGCGGGAAGTCTCGCGGGTCGTGACTCAAGGCTCGTTGCGAGTCCCCGGGAATGACAAACGTGGATGGGTCTCGACTCCTTCACTCGGGTAACTCAATCGACAATCTCTCTCTCGGAAACTCATGTGGCTCGATCAAATGGCTTGACTAACTCATCTCAGAATGGCTCGGCATCGAAAATATGGACAATGGCTCGGATAATGGCTCCTCTTCCCAAACGTGCATAGAGGACCTAAATACATAAAAAAAGACAAGAAAATACGTCGAAATACAAAAACACATAACGAAAACGAAAACCCATAAAGCACGACAAAGTAGACTGGTTGACACAAAAACTAACCTAAAAACGACTCGACTAAGACATATAAAACACAAGAAAACAAGCACAAAAACACAATAAATAATTCCCCACACTTAACTCTTTGTTTGGTCTCAAGCAAACAAAACAACAAGTAGTTCGAGAAGAAAGATCGAACGGTCCAAAATTAAAGATCATGCGAAATGAAACTCTCTTCTTCATCCAGTTATCCACAAAATTAAACTCCAATTCGAATACACGGTCCCCACAAAATGAATTCATACAAAACAAAAACCCGTCCCAAGTCATTCCACACATGATTTACTCGATCCAGCCTTCCTTTTTCCAAATACACATGCAAAAGGCTATGAACGGTCTACTCAACATTTAAGAATCGATAAGCATTAAACCAACAAGGCCGACTCCTTTTTTTTTTTTTCACATAAGTCATTTTTTCAAAATGAGAGTCGTTAGGACGTTTATTACCTAGGTTTAACCTCGGGGTTTGTCTCCGAGTCTCCTAAGCCTGTTTCTGGTATTCATTGACCCGAGACTAATCGGGTCAAACGGAGTCTAATCCTTTCAACTCTCACGAGCTCATTTTATTAATTTTTTTTCGTGAGCTACCTTTTTCCAAATGAGGTTTCCGGATGATGATTATCTAGGTTTAGCCTCGGGGGGTTTCCTCGAGTATCCTAGACCGGTTTTGCGGGCTCTCTATCTCACTCCACGAAATGGATCGAACTAAGAGGAGTTTAATCTGTACTTCTTCGCGAACTCACATTTTATTCTCTTTTTTTTTTCTTTTTCTTTTCTTGAAGTTTGATATGGGTATCCAAAATACCCAGAGTTGCACAAAACTAATTAAACAGAATTTAAAGAAGATTCTTGCAATTGCGGAAGCAGTAATACTTAAAAATGAACCTTCAGGAGAGCGTCCCACTCTCCATTCGGATCTCTTTCATTAATGCGAACATCTCGAACATCATACAAGGGTTTACAATGCAGACTCCCTCTACACTCTAATTGAGCAATGATCCACACAACTACTTATCCGACCACAAATCCCTTGTGGTTTTTCTCATTTGAATCCCTCAAACTGAAACAGAATGAACCTCACAATCAACTCCTCACAATTGATCTATTCTCTCAATAAAAATACAATCTTACTTAAAACCTTATGACTCAGTATTTCTGGTCTAAAAAACAAAAGATCAAAAGTCACCCTCTTAAAGAATATCACCGTCCTTTTATATTGATCACCATATGGTAAGTCATGCCCATAACTTTGCTGCCAAGTCATGTCCACATATGGTAAGTCCTTGATTAATTCAGTTGACTCTTCTTTTGGAAGGTCCAGTTCCGCTCCCGCATCTCTTAAATAAGGAAAGTGCATTTCATTGATCCTGCATAAATGACACACGCATTAGTCAATTTTAATTGACCAATATGTAAGTAATTAACCAAAGGAGTTTACAGTAAACTTCCTTTAATTTTTCCAAAGCTGTCTGAACATGGTGACAGATGAAGGTTCATCGATTTACTGCCAATCTTCAATTCTAACAATCTTCCCCTTTGGCAGATAAATCGAAACTCTTGTAAATAACCTGCATTAAACTCCCTACATACATACTAAATGAAACAACCAGTATATGCACGTAACTAGTTGTTCATTAAAACCTGAACCATAGAACAATTAGAAAAAGTTTATAGATACCATCCTAAACAACCGAATATCCATCCAGAGGTCTAGGCAGACCCTTCATCCTCTTCAGTCTCCTCATCACCATCAGAACCTTCATCGGGGCTAGCTTCAGTGTCCTCCTCTGAACCAACATCTTCCTCCCCATCTCATCTGACTCCATCTCTTATTCCTCAGCATCTGAAGCTTCAGACTCAACAACCTTCTTCTTACCTTTGGCAGCAACATACTTCTCTTTCCCTTTGGCAGCAGTCTCCTTCCCCTTTGACTTGGAACTTCCTTTCGATTTCTCCATTTACTTTCAGCCTTCTTTTTCTCCCTTCCTTTCGATTTAGATGTCAAGGGGGCACGTGGCTTCAAAGCTCCTAAAATCTCTTTATAGTAACGGCGCTGATCCGCCAACCTCTTTTTCAACCCAGTGAGAACAACCACTTGTTGGTTAAGGAATCCACGGAACTGTGAAGTACATCAGAGGCTTTGACAACAAAGGGAATACGGGGAACTCTCTTGACTCCAGCCAGTGCAAGCGATTTCAGAGAAGAAGAGAGTTCATCACCTACACGCGGGTCCATCTTGATGCCTGCCCTTATCAGAATTGCATAGATGGTAGAAGGAAAAGGCAGCAACTTGTGGGGCTTGGATATTTCAGCAATGGACACCACATTGCCAAAAATAATAGAGCCCAAGTCGAACGGAGAACCACATAGAATGCGAAAGATGACCCTTGCTTGTATAGGCGTCACAAATTGTTTGTGCGAGGTGGGAGTCCTGTTCAAGGACCCAATTTTCGTCGCGGCGGTCGTCCAGTAGGCTGAGGTCGGCGGGTCATGGTGGTGGGTTGTGGCTCGTCGGCTCCGGTAGATGATCGCGATGTCTCAGTTAACTTCAGGATCTTTTACTGTATTACTCACACATCTCTTCAACTTGT